ACACACACTCTCACACACACACACACACACACACACACACACACACACACTCACACACACACACACACACACACACACACACTCTCTCACACACACACACACATTATTGTTTTACTATAGTATGAAATGTAAAAATATAAAGGGAAATCCTTGATATGCACACCTCACTGTTTGTTTTGCGTCCAGCCATACTTTCATACACTCCATCAGCAGCAGAACGGCCATGTGACTGTCATTGAAAACAGAAATAGAGTTTTCTTTGAATTTGTCCAATCTGTTGTTTCTCTGAATGTAATCGAGTACAGGGTTTTCCCTGATCTATTACAGTACTGCTGCTGAACTCACACGCGAGGACTGTTTCCTGTGCATCGTCACGTACTGACCTTCCTCTGCTTCCTGCACAGACTGGAAGAATCCTAAAAGAGCAGGTGCATAGAAACCATCATCATACTGTGAAAACAATACAGTGACTTCACATATGTTCACAGAACTATAGATGCAAGAAAACAACTTACTTTTTTTGCAAAACCTAGCCAGTTTCAGTGCCAAGTAAATGACTATGATCAGGAGAATCTCCAAAATCACTGGCAACAGAAATAAAACAGCTGTCCTAAAATACAACAGAATAGCGAAAGGATTTTATCTTCTGAATAACTGCCTACATACTTCAAACACAGCATCATGTCAAAGTGAATAGTTCTGGAAAGCAGAAAAAAGCTGCAAATTCTCAAATGGACATAAATGGTTTCACACAAACATGATCATTCTGTCATAATTTACTCTCTCTCACGTCGTTCCAAACCTGTATGTCCTTATTTCTTCTGAAGAACACGAAAGCAGATATTCTGTCAAATGTTCAAGCTGCTCTTTTTCTTAAAACGAATGCATTTGTCACAAATTCAGTCCATGGACTTCCGTTTATTCACCACCAGAGGTCACCCTTTCCATTACATTGACTCTCGCGCAACACAAACTGTTGCATAGCACCCCGGACTACATATCCCATCATTCTTTGCACGATTTGCACACTGCACTGATTGCACACAGCTGTTTCTTATCACCTCACTCACTATATAACACCCACTCTAACCACATTTCTCTGCTGAGTATTGTTTAGCCTGTACCCCTTTCCGAGTCTCCGTGTTTTCCTTGTTTTGCCTTGCCTGTTTTTGCGGTTTTTGATCTTTGCCTGTTTTCTTGGATTTCTCCCTCTCGTCTCGCCCCTGTGATTCTGTCTGCCAATCGGTGACCTACGCTAGCCCTGTGACTATTCTTGTGTTTTGCCCGCCATATACCTGTTTGCCATTGTTCGACCCTGCCTGTTTACCACGTCTCTTTAATAAAAGCTTGCAGATGGATCCACACGTCTGTCGTCTTGTCAGCCCCGTTACAGCATTAAATCAAAATAGTATCCAAAAAGGAATCATAAAAGCAGCCCACATAACTTGTAATAATGACCTTTTCCTCACACTGAAGTCATTATATGAGCTCAGAAGACTTATTTTGACACCATATGGCCACTATATGCTTTCATTATATGGTAAAGAGTGGCTTGGACATTATCAATAATATCAAAAATAAATAAGAAAGATCAAAATAAATAAATAATAAAATGTAAAAATAAATAAAAACGATCAAGTAAAGCACTCACTAAAAAAGATTCATATTTTATTTGTTTTCCTGCATGTCATGCGATCATTACCTGACATCAGAGAACCGTGAACATGAAAATGTGAAATATTAACTTGCTATCTTATTTTAGTTGAATTTAAGTATGTATTTTTGGTCAAAAGGCTGAAAAGTTTTGCCCTGAAGAAACACAGCCGTATGAGTTTGGACCAGCATGAGTGTGAGTCAATGAGTCGTTATATTAAAGGATCGTCACCTTCTGCGAGCGCTGGCTGAGATCTGATCAGACTCTGCTGTATCCGGACTCTCTCTGCTCTTCTTCTGTTGGACAGTGATATGAACAGGCATCTGCAGCTCTTCTGTCGAGCACCAGTACCATCCCGTGTGCTCCTTCTTCAGTCGGCTCATGCTCACAGTCGTGTTTCTCAGACCATATCTGATCTCAACCGAGGCTCCGTCTAACCTCCCAGACGCTCTTGTAATGCACTGACCTCCAAACTTACACCATTTTACACCATATTGTCTTCCCCGATGGTAGCAGCTGATGGTTACGCTGCCATTCTCAGATCCCGTCACATTCTGAGAGTTCACGTGAAGTCTCGGAGAGTCTAGAAATTGCATAGAAAACATCAGTTGCCACTCAGTTAGCAGTGTGTTAAAGGAATAGCTGAAAATGTGCTCAGCTGTTTGGACTCTCATTCTGACGGCACCCATTCACTGCAGAGCAAGTGATGCAATGTTACATTTCTCCAAATCTGATGAAGAAACAAACTCAGCTACATTCTAGAATGAACACATTTTCATTTTTGGCTGAAGTATTCCTTTAAGAATAATACCATTTCTGTCATTTACACTCGCTCTTATGAGTTTGTACAGTTTCAGCTTGACATCAGAGAGCTTCAGATAACTGTAAGATGGTCTCACCTGCTGTGACGTCCAAGAAAAACCCTGCCCGTTTATCAAAAGCTGAAGGAATATGAATGGCACACCAGTAATAGCCAGACTCCTGGACGTTATCCATGCGGACGGTGAAGATGTGACCTTTCGTGTCATCTGAGATCAACACTGATTTGCAATGGCAACTCTGGTCTGAGAGCGCCACATAATCACTTGATTGCCAAACGCTCAAGTATTTGCATGAAAATGCATATTTCTGATGATATAAATAAGGAATTATGACAGACTGTCCTCTCCGAACAGATACCTTCCTGACCGTAATGATGTCCTGCGCACCTTCAAAAAAGAACTATTGTATATTAAAATAATGAATTGATTAATCCAAAATCTGTGGCTTTTTATGCATTTTAACACATTTAATTTCATATTTATTTAAATATATATATAATATTCATAAACATATATTAAAATAACAATTTGATCCAAAAACAGTGTCAAATATTTTATATATTTAATAAAAATGTTACCTTTAAAAAAAAAAACAAATCCTGAAACATAGTTTTTTTTAAATCCCAGATTTTCAATTTAGTCTCTGACTTGTGTTCCCTACTGTTTCCTCTTTATAAATTCAGTAGTCTTGCAGCTTTGCATAAACATGACAATCTTAAGATTATTCAACAGTACGGCTGCTTGCCAGTGTCGGCCCAGATCTGTAGCTGGTCTCACCTGAGAGTCTGATGAAGCTGCAGATGAAGAGAAGACCGTTCAGATCCATGGCTGTGTCATTGTGAAGATGTTTGATGGGAACGCATGTGAAATCTGCTCTTTTCTCATCTCTAGTTCCTGTTTTTCTGCAGCTCTGGCCTGACTCCCCCTCCCACCACGCCACGGTTTTGCAAGAGTATTTGTGGCTAGTGTGACAAAACTGCTTGTTTATTTAAGTCAGGTGAAACCAGTGTGACAGATTCCCTCTAAAGCAATAATGAAAACAGCATTAGCACTGACAGAGACAGACCGACCGATGGCTTTTTGTCTATAAAGTCTTTTCAGGAATTGCAAAAAAAAGAAAGAAAAGAAGAAATAAGCACTATGTTTACACCCCCAGTTTTCCACTTGATGAAAACAAAGCCTCAGAGCTGTGGACGACTCTCACCGGAGCCATCATGAGCTCAAGCACAAACTGAGACACAGCAGACAGACAGACTGGGTTACATGTCAAAGAAACGGCTCAACTAAAAATACAACTTCTGTCACTATTTGCTCACGTCTGCATGCATGCTATCTTTTTATATATGTAGAACACAATACAGTTATGTTAAAATTCCGGGTACAATCATTATTTTCCAGATCCTTCATTGGATTCGATACAAAAAAGAATTCAGGTATAGCAGTAAACCTTTAACATTACTTCTCATATGTTACAAAAATAGTATTTTTAACAACTTTTGTTTTCACAAATTATGACTATTATAAACAGTATTTCTTTTTTATTTTAAATGCTTGTTTTGTTTTGTTTTGTGTGTGCTTTCCTGAAGCTCAAATAATCGAGCACGGCACTAGCAGCGCCACACTCTTAAAAATAAACGTCCTTTATTGGCATCGACGTGTCCGTGAAGAAACTTTAGCATCCATCGAATCTTTCCAGTCCACAAAAGGTTCTTTATAAAAAGGTTCTGACTGAAGACTGTTTGCTAAAAGGTTAATGAATGGAATGAAATTAGCATTTCGAAATAAACATATGATTTATATTGCAATATACAAACTCTGTACACACAACTGGGCATGTTCATGTCCCTAACTGAGAAACAGTCACACAACTTCAAAAACAATCAAATAAGAGGTGAAACTGACCTACAACATTACATAAAAGTTTTTAAAAAAGATTCTATATATTTCCAATCACAGAGTCAAAAGGAATAAAACTAATGCTATTTGTTTACTTGAGTCACACACATCTGATTTTATAAAACTCTGATTAACACAAACAAACATTATAAAAACACTAAGACCATAGATGTATATATGTTTTTATTATCTGTTGCAGTCAACTACCACAAGAACACAACAAAACAAGACAAAAATACAGTTAGACTGACATATTAATATTATATTATTATATTACATATTATATTAGCCCATATTAATATATTGTAAGAGAGATATAAAATCATCAAATTCATTTAAAATAAATGAATAACTGAAAGTACCTGAGTGTTTTGTTTAATTCCAGTCATGGTTTCATAGAGATCTTCACATGCAACCTCGTTGTTTTTCCCAGTTCCCTATCAAAATGAAATTAATCATATTAATACTAACAGTAGTGGTGAACAGTGGTCAGAAGCGGACAGTATTGTGGATGTGAGAGCTGTGTTTCACCTACTTTGGGCAGTTGTTGTTTGTTCATGCCTTCATGAAGATTTGAGCTTTCAGCTCTTTGTTCTGCGGATACACACACATGTAATACTGTACATATGCTTTGTCTTACTAATCAACAGGAGACAACAGCAGATGCACTTTTTCACTGGAGGAAGAGTTATTATGGATTATGAACTCGATGTATTTTAGTTAAAAACGTCTTAATGCTGGATGTGTTTCAGCTTTTGTCTTCTCCAGATGTGAACTGATGGACTGGAGTGCTGTGGATTATTGTGCTGTTCTTATCAGCTGTTTGGACTCTCGCTCTGCCGGCACCCATTCACTGCAGAGCATCCATTGCTGAGACACTGATGCAGTGCTACATTTCTACAAACCTGATGAAGAAACAAACTCATCCTGATCGCAGATGACCTGAGGTAAATTGTCAGCAAATTTTCATTTTTGGATGAACTATTCTTTTAAAAACATCAGCAAATGAATGGAAACTCAAAAAGAATGACTGTTATCAAACGGAGCAATGTTTTGATAGCGTTACAGAGACACAGTGTTTACACTTTACAGAGAAATGAATCTGCATGAAAGAATTTACACACAACATAAGCATCAATAAGTATTTAATTTTGAGATTAATTTCTGCATTATCAAAGGCACCCGCAGAATTTGATCTGAAACCTGACCAGAGCCTCAGGTTTAGCACTTCATAAGGCAAATATTACAGATGTATAAACCATACATACACCAGAAGTTGTGCAAAAATCCCAGTCTGCTGAACATACAGTGGGTACGGAAAGTATTCAGACCCCCTTAAATTTTTCACTCTTTGTTATGTTGCAGCCATTTGCTAAAATCATTTAAGTTAATTTTTTTTCCTCATTAATGTACACACAGCACCCCATATTGACAGAAAAACACAGAATTGTTGACATTTTTGCAGATTTAATAAAAAAGAAAAACTGAAATATCACATGGTCCTAAGTATTCAGACCCTTTGCTCAGTATTTAGTAGAAGCACCCTTTTGATCTAATACAGCCATGAGTCTTTTTGGGAAAGATGCAACAAGTTTTTCACACCTGGATTTGGGGATCCTCTGCCATTCCTCCTTGCAGATCCTCTCCAGTTCTGTCAGGTTGGATGGTAAACGTTGGTGGAAAGAGACCTAAGTCAATATTCTAATAGTGGTGTCTGATAAATATTGCATGCTAAAATGATAATAAAATATTACTTTTCATCTATGTACAGTCGTGGTCAACATTTGACATACGCTCCACCCACTGAAAACAGCACATTTATATGATATACAAACATGATATTCTGAGTAGAAATACATCAAAAGTTGTGGTCAAAAATGTGCATACACTCTGCAGTATATTACCAAAATAAGAGGGATCATACGAAATGATGCTATTTTTTATTTAGTACTGACCTGAATAAGATATTTTGCATAAAAGGCACTGAGGACGACTGAGGACTATCACAGACGCTTCAGACGCAGAAGGAAACACGATGCATTTAGAGCCGGGGGTGAAAACTTCTTGAATTTGAAGATTGGGGTAAATTGAATTTTGAAATAATTAACATTATACTCAAAGCGTATGTCAAATGTTGACCACGACTGTACATAGATGAAAAGTAATATTTTATTATCATTTTAGCATGCAATATTTATCAGACACCACTATTAGAATATTGACTTATCAATTTATTTATTTCATAGTGTTTTTTAAAACAAAAAATCAAGTTAATATATATATATATATATATGAAATGTAGATTACAAAATTAAATAATTTAATAAATAAAAAATATGCATATAATAATATATAAATTATATAGTAGGCACATATATATACACACACACACACACACACATATATATATATATATACACACAGAGTGGTGCAGGTTTGACGTCAGAACCCGGAAGACTAATTCGCCGCTGGTTTTATAATGGTGTCTTTCAATTTCTGAGTAAAATAAAGGCTGTGGTAAACAACTTGACGATACAACAAACTACACACACTCACACCCAAACATTGTTATGTAACTAATTATTATTATTTCAGTCCAATGATGAGTCCAATGATGAGTCAGTCTAGAAAAAGAGAGACAATATGTTGATATGATGGTGGTGGTTCTATGATATAGACTTTAATCAGGGTAATACTATATTTCACTTATTATGAAAACGAGGTTGTGAGGGACCTGTATGCTCTACGTACTGCTGTAAAGACTGCAGTCTGTCCCTCACAGCCTCACTTTCATCCATGTAAGATTCTAACCTGACTAGGTGTGTTGTAGAGCCAGTAGTGAGTTTACCTGATAAAGATATCCAGGTGAGACTGTGGAGTAGATCACGTCATCCTCTCTGAGAGCCGCCTGTAGCAAACGTTACACACAGCCCTGGTCAGACACACTGAACATCAAGCTCTCATAATATAGATGCTAAATGTTCCATATTGTGCAGGAATGAGGCAAAGGAAAATCCAAGTACAGAAGCAAAGTGGATTCCAGTGCTGTGTGTTTCTGAGTCTCTTTAACCCTGTATTCTTTGAAGGCTTCAGACAGTACCTGAGCCAGCGGTCCTTCACAGGGAATCTCAGCGTATGTATTCTCAGTGTGTGACTGCTGTGAAAAAACAACAGAAATGTTCACATAACATCTAAAGCTCACGCACAGCCGACATAAGCCAGGCCTCACTCTTTAGGACATATAGAAGAAGGCAATACATTATTTGAATAACAAGTAACGGTGAGATATAATAAAAACTAATTTACTCTGAGATTCCTTAAGCTGGTACTTCTTGGCAACACTCGCTCTGCTCATTTGTTGCCAAAAAAAAAGAGCATAAATGTGAATGAATAGTTTCATATTGATTGTAATAAGTAATGTATAGGCTGAGTAAATAGTCTAAAAGACTCACTGGTTTTGCACAGCGTGATCACAAGCACTGCAGCACAGCTCAATATCACACTGAACACCAGCACAATGATCAGCGGTCTCTCTCTGGAGCTGCGAGAAGAACGAGGCAGAAGCTCACACAAACTAGTTTTAACTGATATCTCTCATGCATCTGTTACTTCTGATTAAATTAGTAACATCATTATAGTTAGACTTTATTATTGTACAATACTGCATTGTATTAATATTGTGCATTAATATATACAATAACTACACAGCAGATTATATTTATGTTTTTATATTTCTCTGACGCTCTTTCAAATCTTAAAGAAGTAACTTTTTTTCAAACCAGGGTTATTCTAGTTAACTAAAACCATTTAAAAGATGCCTGAAATAACATAAACAGTAACTGAAATAAAATCAATTATAAAAAACCTTAAACTTCTAACAGCTTGAGTTTAGCTACATGTACGAAAATAGCTCAAACAAAAGTTAATTAATAAATAATTGCGGGTTTCTCAGCAGCAGAAGTCGTCATAGTTGGGTAAACTTCTATAGCAGTGAATGGGAGACTACATCAAATATTTATTTTTGTGTTCCCATTTCCTCGAAGAGCACAAGAACAACTCCACAATAGCGTTTTCACAACTTCCAAAAAGAGAGAAACAAATCGAGAGCGACTGATAACGGCAGTCAGAAGAGAAAACGATGTCAAGTTTAGCATCTCTCGCAGAGACGCTGCATTAGACACAGCCTCACAGCAGCGGTAACTCGTTTTTTGTCATTTGATGCAAAGGTAATAAAGCAGTAACCCCCGTGAAGCCGTGGTTTACAGTGAATTTATAACAGCTAAGTGTGACGCGACGCGGAGTGCATAAAACCCCCTTAGCTGTTATAAATTCACTGTAAACCACGGCTTCACGGGGGTTACTGCTTTTATAAAACGGTTATATACGTAGTAAGGTTTCACAAAATAAAACGGAGCAAATAAAGTGTAATGATATTAATAAACACAGTATTCTTCCACCAAACAATGTAGCTCCTCAGAAACAGTTGTGGTTGCTACAAAGTGGTTGCCGAGCAACACACAAACGTAAACAAAGGTGTGTGTTACTTTGTAGCGTCATTTACAACAGCTTCGAACGCGGCTCAGCCAATCAGAGTCAATACAAATATAAATGTGCATACAAGCTTTTAAAACTGAATATATAAAAACATTGCAGGATGCTGGTGACCATTAAAACACATCATTGGGTGGGTCCGTTATATCTTGATATACTAAGGTTATAGAGGCCAGACAGAAGAAACTGACTAAAGTTGCTTGACAAGTTTTTGAGAAATTTGCCTTGATTCAGGCATGTTGAAAAAACACTAACCGAACTATGCCATGCTGAGCATTTTGAGATGCTTGAAACAATTTTACTGGTCAAAATAACCATCGGACTGTGCGTTCATGACTCCAAACATAAATGAACAGATTCTTACCGAGGCATTTGAGCAGATGTGAAGCTTCCTGTGGATTTCACTGAGCTGGATGTCCTGAGGGATCATTTAGAGCTGAGACAAAGCAAACAACAGCTAGAATTTCATTGTAAACGTGAATTAATCTTACGGGGGCTGGCTGGAGGTTGTCTCGGGTGTGCGGGCAGAGGTTTCTTCTCTTGTAGAGACAGTGATGTGAACAGGCATTTGTAGTTCCCTCACTGAGCACCAGTACCATCCCGTGTTCTCCTTCTTCAGTCGGCTCACGCTCACGCTCACCACTCCATTACTGTTCCTGAGCTCCACTGACGCCCCATCCAAGAGCCCACCTGGCTCTAACACACAGTTCCCCGCAAGCTTACACCACTTTATACCAGTTTTCCTAGGCAAATGATAATAGCAGGCGACGGTAACACTGCCGCCTTCAAAACCAGCCAGCATCTGATCCTGAACATAGAGACCAGCAATACCTAGACATCAGAATGAAAGAACAAGAAGATGTGGAAAAAAGTCACTGAAAAATATTACAGATATTTTATAATTATATCTGGTCAATTTCACCTGCTGTGACCTTTAAGCTGAATCCATTCTGAATATGAGCTCTAGGTCCATCAATCGCACACCAGTACGTCCCACTTTGGCTCTGCTGAATGTTCCTCATGTTAATACTCACAATGCTAGTTGATTTGTTATCTGAGACAGAAACTGTCTCATGTTTCTCTCTCCCATCTGAAAACTCGATGTATTTACTAAAGGTCCAGTGATCTCCAAAACTCAGATATTTCACATTATTTACATAAGCACGATTATACCAACAAGGGATTACGATAGATCTTCTTTCCTGGACAGACACTTGACTGACTGTTTGGACGTCTTGTGCACCTAAAGCAATGAGATCAATACTGTTAAACTGACACAGATCATTGCAAAAACTGAAGAGAACTGCATTTTACACTCAATGAGATCATAATGGACTCACCTGAGATGTTGAAAAGCATGTAAATAAGGACACAGAGAATCATTGTTGTTGATGTGCGAGTAGAACGAGGTTAGCGGCTGAAATGAGTTTACCACTATAGCATTTCCTTCGTCACAACAGAACATGTCGCCTGTGTTTCTGGTTCAGGAAGCTTAAAGATTTTTCTGATTATTTTAAATTACATTTTATATTTATTCATTTAATATCATAGGATGAAAAGATTTGATCTAACAAATTCTTGGTATACAGACAAAACAATATATATCCTGCTTAGCATAAAATCAACAAAAAGGATTTTCAGACCGAGTCTTCTTTAGAGCTTTATGAAAGGCACAGAATAGATCATTAAAATCACAACTGCACTGAGAAACAAAAATTATTTGCACTCAGATATTGCTTGTAAAATTCTCAATTACAAAGAAACACCAAATAACACATTGAATTAAACATGAACTTTTGAACTAGAAAATCAGAAGCGTTTCTTATGAAATGCACTTCAAGCTTTGTCTTTACAACTCTCAAAAAATACACTTTTCTTTTTTTTCTTCTTTTTGTTTTACAGTGATGAAACAGGAAACCACAAAACTTGTTTTCTCTTTAGATTGTTGTGCCACTAAAATGTGCACAACTTGTTCTTTTAAACAGACTGATTCAGTTCATAGTCAGACTATAATAATAATAAAATAATAATGTTTTATTTATATAGCGCTTTTCAAACACCCAAGGACACTTTACATAAAGTAAATAACACATAGTATACAACATATGAACAGCCAAAGAGCAGACAGAGGTGAAATAATATGCAATATACAAGATAAGCATAGAACAGAAAATTAAGGCAAGCAATTAATTAAGAAACATTGTAAATAGGTGAGTTTTGAGAGCAGTTTTAAAGGTCTGGAGTGAAGAGATAACATGGAGATCTTGTGGTAGTTTATTCCAGAGCTTGGCAGCGGAAATGCAGAAAGCCCTACCACCCAGATAGCCAGAATTTAGGTACTGCAAGCCAATTTTCAGAGCTCGATCTCAAAGTACGGGCAGGGACATCGGGGAGAATTAATTCAGGAAGGTAAGAAGGTGCTCACCCATGACGGGCCTTAAAAACAAAAACAAGAATCTTAAACTGAATACGATAGGTGACAGGGAGCCAATGTAATTGCTGTAAAACCGGAGTGATGTGGGCAGATCTTTTGGTAAATGTAAGAACACGAGCAGCTGAATTTTGGATAAGCTGCAAGCGATTAAGGACTTTGTTGGGTAGGCCATAAAACAAGAGTTACAGTAATCCAGACTCAGCGTAATAAACTCATGAACAACAGTTTCAGCATCTTTGAAATTTAAAGATGGCCGTAGGCGGACAATATTACGAAGGTGAAAATAAAACAGGATTGATGTGGGATTCAAAACGTAGACTAGAATCAAACATTATACCAAGATTGTGTATAGTGGAAGAGGGATGGACTATAACTCCATCAATGTTAATGAAGTAGTCAGGTTGGGAGGAGACAAGGGATCTAGGGCCAGCTAACAGAAATTCAGTTTTTTTTCAGTATTCAACTTTAAGAAATTTTGGGCCATCCATACTTTGAGATCATGTAAGCAAGATGTAAAAGAAGAACGGGGGAAAACAGAATTGGGCTGTATGGTAAAATAGATTTGCGTATCATCGGTGTAACTGTGGAAATTTAGACCATGGCGTCGGATGATCTGACCCAGAGAAAGCATGTAGATTAAGAATAGAAGTGGACCAAGGACAGATCCTTGAGGCACTCCACGAGAAAAAGTGACAGAATGAGATTTCAATTTATCAATGCTAATGAACTGTTGCCTGTCTGAGAGATATGAACCCAGCCACTGTAAGACAGTATCAGTAACGCCGATCTCTGACAAACAAGACAGCAGTACAGAACGGCAAACAGTATCAAAAGCTGCACTCAGGTCTAGAAGAACCAGAAGGCTGAGGGCACTCAAATCAGAAGCAAGGAGGAGGTCGTTCAATACTCCTAGAAGGGAAGTTTCTGTACTATGGAGAGGACGAAATCCGGACTGAAATGATTCATACTGATTATTTTTATCCAAGTGAGTCTGTAATTGTTTGGCGACCACCTTTTCTAGGACCTAAGATAGAAAAGGAAGGTTAGAAATTGGTCTGAAATTACTTCTAACTGTGTTGTCAAGGCCAGGTCTTTTAAGAACTGGGGTGATTATAGCTATTTTCAATCCAAGCGGTACATAACCAGTCGATAGGGAACAATTTATCATGTGGGTGATAGGTATAATGAGAGAGGGGAGAAAGTTTTTGAGTATGTGTTTTGGAATAGGATCTAGCTGACAGGTAGAGGAGTTAGAGTTCATCCACAGATGTATTAGTGAGTGAAAAGTTTGAGAGTGGGAAAGTATCTGGGAAGTTGCAGTTTCTGGAAGAAGAACAGAAGAAAAGGATTGATAAATGTTGTCAATTTTGTGTGTAAAAAAATGTCAGAAAATCATCACAAATTTCAGAAGAATCATTAAGAAGGGGTGATGGCTGTTTAACGAGTTTGTTGATCTCGGAGAATAGGGTCTTGGGCTTGCACTTTGCTCCGTTAATAATAGTGGACAGGTAACTAGAGCGTGCAGTGTTAAGTGCTTTATTTATACTGTGATATGAATTCTGAGTGGAGGATCGCATGAACGACCCTACACTAAACAACTTTGTTACCGAATTTGACTCTGTTTGGCACACTAAGCTATAAATGGCTTCAGAAGAAATCTTGGAATATTTCCAGGGAAATAATGTTATGGGTTCCTTTTATTGTTCCAGTATGAACTGAAAAATAAACAGCTAACAGGTTTGGAACAAAATAATGGCAAATAATATAATTTTCCTTTTTGGAGACAGGTATTCCAATAAACCACTTGTATTAATTAATACACCATATTTAGACTCAAAATGTTTCAACCTTATACACTTTATTAGAAAAAATATTTAAATGAAACCACATCATGCTGGTTTGGTCTGGCCAGAGGAGAACCGGCCCCCAGACTGAGCCTGGTTTCTCCCAAGGTTTCTCTTCATTTTGGTTCCTTGCTACTGTCACATTTGGCTTGCTTAGTTGAGGACACTTAATATCTGGCAATATTTGAAGAGAACTGAACTTTACCGGAAGATGACATCAATGATCTGACTTTAGCTGATAAACTGAGTGTTTTATATTGTCTTGCATTATTGACAAACTATTTCCCATTTGACACTAAAGCTGCTTTGACACAATCAGTATTGATTAAAGTGCTATGGCAACTTGACTTTAACTATGAACAACACATGTGTCATGGATGCCTGATTATATGGCATATGACTTCTGTGGTTCCCATGATTTCACAGTCATCTACTGGGAAATTAGTCAAAAAGGGAAGAGTAACACTTGAAGTGGAGGGACTTTTAAAAAATCTACTAAATTCAAAGGAAAAATTAGGTTTTCATTTCCCACTGACAGATACTTATCTGTAGGTATATGTATCTTGATGTAAGGACATTTAGATATTTGTTTTGGAAATAACAAAGACTTGCTCTGATTTAAGACCTCTTTAGGCTTGAATTTGTGGTCATCTGATGAAAGGTCTGTCTCAGTCGCTGGCTCTGGGAAACTGGCTTTTTCTTAAGAACTGACATTCACACTTCTTGTTTTGGTCAGAGTGTCTCAAGCAGACAAGCGCCACGGTCGTATCACATGCTGCAATCACAGACAATAGCAGGACTATATAAAAATGTGTTGAAGTCAATGTGGCAACAGAAGAGCAGAACCGTTCTAAATCATCCAAATATGAATTCTGTCATCGATCCTCACCCTCGTGTCGTTCCAAACTGCTATGACTTTTTCTTCTGTGGAACATAAAAGAAAATATTTTAAAGAACGTTTCGGTAAAGATGCACATGCATTCTTTAGTAATAAAACTGAAAGAAGTTGCATTTGTGATGCTGATCTCCTAAACTGCACAGAGAGAGAGCGAGAGTGGTCTGACAGATTCATCTGATCTCATTAAAGTCTGTGTGCAGCGTGGAATTATGGGTTCTCTAGAAAACACAGGCTTTGATGAGCGATCGCCGTGTTCTAGGTCAGTTACTAAAAGCGTTGGTCTCTTCGTTCTGTGTGTCAGAACAATCTAAAGTGAGCAGCTACCGGGTTCAGACCCCGATTAACTTATTCAACTTCTGTGGGACTTTCAATGAGTTCAGGAAAACAGAAATGTCATCGACATAATGCTACTGAGAATTTCTCTGGGGTTTCTTAATTGATCTGTGCAATGCAGTTTAAACAGTATTACATTGGATTATATGGAATTACCTTTTGCTTTTGAAATAGGTGAGTTAATGTAACATGTAAATAACTCAAAACTTCCTAAAAGAGACTTTACTGGAACTTGATGCAAAAGGTGACATCGAGTCTGTCCTGATTCTCACACTTGCGGTCTCTGCGCTTGGCCACTCGTCTATTTACGTGACATATTTCCTGTATTTGGTCCATGTTTTCAAGTGGACATGAAAACCGCAAGGGTGTATGACTTTCAGTTATGCAACGGTGACACACTTACAACATAGTGGTGTAAAAATCGAAGTAACACACATTGTACATTTAATTCATTGCACTTTAAAATAAACTTCTAAACTTTTGATCAGTTGTCTCTATCCATGACACAATTGAATTGTGGTGCTTTTAATTAAGTGATAAACATTTTAAAAAAGTGCACATACACTCTAAAAAATGCTGGGTTGTTTCAACCCAACTTTTGGTCAAATATGGACTAACCCAACTTTTGGGTTAAAATTTAATGTAAAAATGTAACCCAACAGTTGGGTTAGTCCATATTTGACCCAAAGTTGGGTTGAAACAACCCAGCATTTGTTAGAGTGATCTCTGTACCAAAGTTCAACACTACACAAATTATTTGCAATATCTAATTAAATTCCTCAACATCCCTGATGAAAATGTATTTGAAATACGTTTATTTCATGCTAAGTATACTACAAACACAAAATAAAAATACTCTGCAATTGTACTTTTGGTTTACTTAAAACCTGCTAAATTGAAACAACTAATTTTGTACTTAATGCACTTTAACTGTGTGGAAGTAGTGCTAAAGTCCAACTGAAGTATACTTGATTGAGCTAAAGTGGAACTATTGCAAGTACACTTCAGACACACTTCAAATATCTTGCATTTCATATTATTCAAAGATCATACAATTCTCATCAATAGTGGCATTAAAATACATTTAGGCTTAATATTAAGAAATGTGCATTGTGCACAAGCAGTACTCCAAATAAAGTTTAAAATCTTATATCAGTGCGTTTGGAGTGATATGTCAATAAATATGCTAATAGATTTGAACTATACTTATGCAATAAATGTGTTTTAAATATATGACTTTGTTACTAGGACGGTGAGTTCCTGCAGGTGATGAATGATGAATGATGGGATGTGCTTAGGCTCTAAAGCAGTTTAGAGTGTGAATGTGGATTAAGCACACTGACTTCTGCTCTTACCCTCCAGTGGCCCAAAAGCAGTGTGTGGTTATTATTGGGACAAACCCTTCCTGAATTCAGCACGGATGAAGCTCAAACATCACAACTTTCAGCACTGTTTCAGTGAGTTGTTGTCTACAGAAAGTGTTTTTCAGAAGCAGTATATTATAATCTGAGCTTCACTTTCATTCATTCACGCCACTCTCAGTCACTAATGTCTGTAGTTACACAGAGGAGGAAGAAAAAGGTCATTTTCAGACACCGAACACGCGATTGCTTTAAACAGACCGTTCAGTAACAAAGCTAATATGGAGTAACTTGCGTGCTAGACACAACATTCCAAATTACTTTGTCTGGTTTGTCAATAAAAAGAGCTCCAAACGAAGTTCAAACAGCAGAAGCTCTCGCTGTGGTGTTTAGTTTCTGAATGAACAGCTGATTCGAACGAATCGATTGAGTGAACGACTCAGTGACTCACTCATAAAGACGGTCAGTTGTCGCCACCTACTGGTACAAATCCCCACCAAAAATACACAGACGGACCGAAAATAATAATAATAATAATACATTTATATATATATATATAAAACCTTTTGTTTTGTTTTCTAAATAAAAAGTCCCAAAATGTCCCAAATGTCCCAAAATGTTCACAACTTTAAAAAAAAAAAGCAAAACATTACATAATGTAAATAAGTTGTCACGGAATAAGAATATGTTAACTGTATATATATATATATATATATATAAAATTATCTTCTAATATGCTGATCTGCTGCTCGAGAAACATTTCTGATTATTATCAATGTTGAACACAGTCGTGCTGCACAATATTTCTGTGGAAACTGTGATGCATTTTATTTTTCAGGATTCACAGATGAACAGAAAGTTCAGAAGAACAGCATTTATTTGAAATAGAAATCTTTGGAACATTATAAATGCCTTCACTGTCACTTTTGATC